TGAAAGAGAATTGAAAGGGAATAGCTTTCTCACAAGTTGAATCAGTGTTATTTAATGCTGTTGCTTGTACCATCAAAAATCCTCCCTCTTACCCCCACAGAATATTGTAACCCCATCTAATTTTCAGAATGAGCTCAGAAACTACACATCAAAGCAGAGTGGTCTTTAAAACATTGATCTCCAAGAAAGTTGATATCTGCTCTCTTTTGATTTGGCCAAATTAATGAACTTCGTTATGTTTCCAGGCTAACAAGGAAATGATGGACAATAGGAGCTACTCTAATCTGCCAGAAAAACTGCCTGTCTTCTCTGACTCTGCCCACCTGCCACTGACCAGGTCCTTCTATCTGGACCCCATGGTCACTTTCCACCTGTACCCTGAGGCCCCGGTGCCATCCCCTTACTCTGAAGACCTGCCATTGCTGCCTTTTCCCAGTGATTCCCTGATCGTGGAAAATTACGGTGAACCCTGCCCCTTCTCCTTCCCAATGCCTTATCCAAATTACAGAAGGTGCGACTACTCCTACGGGCCAGCCTTTATCCGGAAAAGAAATGAGCGGGAAAGGCAGCGGGTGAAATGTGTCAACGAAGGCTATGCCCAGCTCCGACATCATCTGCCTGAAGAATACTTGGAAAAGCGACTCAGCAAAGTGGAAACCCTCAGAGCTGCAATCAAATACATTAATTACCTGCAGTCCCTGCTGTACCCTGATAAGGCTGAGACCAAGAATAACCCTGGGAAAGGTCCCTCCCTAATGGCAACCACCAGCCACCACACTGACCCCATTTTTAGAATCATTTGATTCAGCGTTTCCAAATAGAAACAAATAATATCACAAAATGGGGTCTCTTACAGCATCACGCAATAGATTTTCCTAAATGTAATTTCTGTGTAGGCAGTGAATAGCTTGAATGCTAACCTATGTTGGATGTTTCTTACCTGGGTTTCAGATGCACTAAACATGATCTTATGTAGATTGAGAAGATGCTTCTTAAGGTTTGATGATTTCTTTCAAGAACTTTAGGGGAGCAGGAGGCCCCAGGATTCTCTATACCTCTCACCTTGCTCTTCTCACACAGTTGGCCAGAGTCTCAGCTGTGAGAAACTCTCACAAAAGTATTGTAAAGTATAACTAATGATTACTGAATGCTTGTAAATGCACTTTGCAGATGCCTCATGCTGAGCAACCACAATGAACTCTGTTGATCTGACAAAATTTAGTGGTTTTTATTATTTGGGGTTAATAAGAAATCTATACCTTACCCATGTCATGATGGGAAAATGTCTCAGAGCTGAAGCAAAAGTAGTTAAACCTTTGTTGTCATTTGAAATTATTTCGTTTATCTTTTTCCTGCACGCAGAAGACTTCCTTGGGCAGCGTAGCATAGAAGTTAAGAGGGCAGGCTC